TAGAAAAAAAAAGTGCACTAAATATGTATGGACCATAAGCTAAAATATGTTATGTATTGCTTGGTAATTTGGGGGAAGTATGCTGTATCTGGAATTTACCACTTTCTAATCACAAGATAGTGATTGGTAATTCACAGCACACTGTGAGGATTTAATGGTTGAAATTACATAAATATAAAAGGTTTTCTAGGAAAAAGGAAAAACAAGTTTCATCCTAAAATATACTTGTTAGATGATGGGCACATAATATTCATAGTTAAACATTACCATGCTCTAAAAAGATTTACTCCACCTACAGGTTTTGAAACAGCTCAAAATACCAGTTTTCACCAAGAAAGGTTTATATGTCAGTTAGTAAATATTGAGGTCTGGTGAGGATTGCAGAAACAGCTTAGCCAAATATTCAAATAGGGAAATAAATGTAAAAATATACTTCTACCAAATGTATTTGACTCTAGAGCAAATTGCTTTCCCAAGTAAATTCTACAGAAAGCCTTACTTCATAACTGATTATCAATAATGACCTCCTCTTTCATGATAACTGAGAATGCACCAATTAAATTGAAAGAGGTTTTATTTCATACATTTGTAAAATGTACTCATCCTCTAAACCTCTGGCCATATTAAAAAGCCAAAACATTAATAAGAAAGAAAAACCCATCCACATTTTTCTCGGCCTAAAAGGATTCCTTAGGGCATTCACAAAAAGACAGACTTCAGAAGAAATTGTACCTTAATTAGTAGTCGATTTTTCTCTCCCATCTTATTTAGTTTGCTCTTTAAAAGGCAAATATCACCACAGCAAATATTCAGTCTTTAAGAAACAGAAATATACCAACAGACTTAAGGAGTATAAAATTAAAGAAACCTAGAATTTTATACAGGAGAGAAGAATGAAGAATTTAGTGACTCTAATAATTTCTCTTCATGAGGGAGCTCATGTAAGAATGCTAAAATATTTATTCTATATGTCACTATTTTTATTCTTATTCCTCCATTAAAACTAATAAAGATACGTATAATACATTCAAATGTCTGATGAAGTAGAAATGAAAGCGTATCTGAAGCAGAAAGAACCTAGTTCAAGTCTTACTTCTATCACTTACTAAGTATGTCATTGGGTTCTTAGCTTCAGCACTGAATGGGTGGTTCACTAAGATGTAAAGAACTGGGAAGAGGATCTTTAGGACTGAGACTTAAAATCAGCAGCTCTGTTCGGCTCTATCAAGTTTGTAATGCCTACCAGTCATTCAGGTAGAAATGTTGAATAGATAGTTTGGTATATTCACATATAGTTAAAAGAAGGAGAAAAGTTGGAAGCATAAATTTTACATTGAAAGAAGGGCCAGAAACGGAGAAGAAAACTAGGAAAGTATGGTATTATAACATAAATGATAAGAGAAAGTCTTTCAAGAAAGTGTTCTTAAGAAGAGGTTAGTTGACTATGTTGAAAGCTACGGAGAGGACAAGTAGGATAAAATCGGAGATGTTACCATTCAATTCGGTAGCATGGAGGGCATGGGTGACTAGTGAAGAGGTAGAGATAAAAACCTGATTAGTGTGGGTGGATGAGAGAATACAAAATGAAAAATAGGAGTTATTGGCTATAGTCATCACAAATTTTGTAGTGAAGGGAATCAGACAATAGCTCTCATGAAATGTGGGCTCGCATGAGGGTAGTTCAAAGACAGAAGATACTTGACCATGTTGCTGTGCTGATCAGAATGATTCAGAAGAACTAATGCTTCAAAAAAGAGGGGGTAATTGCAAAAGCAAAGATCTTGAGATGTTAAGAGACAATAGAATCTAAAGCACAATGAAGATGACCTTTGATAGTAACAAGGCTACTTCCTTCATATTAATAGGAGTGAAGATTTTTCCATAGGACTCTATGGGAGATTTGGGGTTGATTATTACCTTGAATGGTAGTTTGCATCGATTTTTTTTATGACATAAGAGACAAGATAAAGATAAAGGCAAAAAGGGGGCAATATAAAGATTTGGAAGAGAAAGAGGTGTTAAACCCTCAATTTGATGGGGGTCAATGTAGATATATTCTGATAGTACTGGTTTGCCCAGCCATGCTGCCTAGTCATTTAAGATTTATGGTCCTGAATTTAAAGCAAAATCAGTTAGCATGGTTGTGTTTTGAACACAGCAAAATTCACCTGCTAAGGTATAGATGTGAACTGGGAAATGAAAGGAAGAAGTCACTGAGATAAATATTGGGTCTGAAGATGAAGAAGAAAAATGAACTGTTGTTGTGCCAACACCACACAAGAGGCAGAGATGGAGAAATCAGCCATAAAAATAAGAAAAAAAATGCTGTCATTTGCAAAAAGGATGGAAGAAGTAGGCAGGTGAGGATGGGAAATATTAAGGTAGAAAATATGGTACTTGATGGAATTTATATCAGATAAATTTAAGCTTAGTAAAGTAGGAAATATGATCATCTATAGATTAAGCAGTGGATCAGTGGGGAAGATGTGAGAAAAGGAAATAGCTGTAATAGCAGCTACAGCTAATAACTCAATATATTGACATTTTAATAAGGGATATGTTAAGTTGTATTACTAAGCCTAGGAAGGAAGAAGCTAAGGTTAGATGACATGGATCATAATTTTTTTGAAGAGAAGGGGCAGAGGGATGAGTTGATGGAAGAGAAGGCAAAGCAAGAAAGAGCTTTATAAAGAGGCATGACGAATGACGATGGGAAGGGTAAGGCCAACAAGGAGATTCTCATTAGAGCATCTAACGTGTCACACATGGCACTGCAACATAGAGCTGCTGTTCGTAGCAATAGTTCCTCCACCCCTACTAGTTTCTTTTCCTTGAGTTTTACATTGGAGTTATTAGTGTTCAATAAATATCACATAGCAGAGCTGCTAAAGTAAGGCAGACTCTTCATGAAAAAGATCCATGAGCCTAAAAGAGCCCCAAGTCAGAAGACCTGAGACTTAGTCCTTGCTGACTATCCTGGACTATTATGAAAACCATTTTCTATTGACTGTGGGCCTCTGTTCCTTCATGTATAAAATGTGGGAGTCAGACTTCTAAGCCCCTACCCCCAGCCTACCTCAGTGGAAAACATTCTCAGGTGCCCTGCCTCAGCAAGATATTCAGTGTTCTTTTGTTTTTTACTCTAGTTTAATACCTGTAAAATACCACACATTTCCTATGCTGCAACTGGTTACCACTTGCGCCATTTTCCATCAGCTCCCAGCTCAAAGCCAGGGTGAAAGATCCCACAGAGTTCACACAGTGATGACGGCAGTGAGCAAGCCCTTCAGCATACTCTCTTATATCTGCAGAAAGAGACACAACAGCTCAATCTTAGGAGCTCTAATTAAGACTTACTTGCAAACTATAAAAATGAACTAACGTATCTCTTCCCCACTGACCCCCAACACCCAGTGTAACAGTGAATAACACACAGGCTCCATACTCTTTGTATAAAGGGGGCATTTGTAAATAAACAAACTGCTATGACATTATCTCTAGTGTTGGCCTTATGCTCTCAAACACTTCTATCTATTAGAAACTACTAGTATCCATTAATTGGGAAAAAGAGAGAAGACAGGAAAAAGAGAAGACAGGAAGAGAGAAGACAGGAAAAACAGCCTAATCTTAATAATATAGAGAAAAAGTCATTGTAATTTGTCTTTAGGAATATATATCCCATTCTTAACCAAGATGGCATCTCCCTGATTTAAATTAGATAGTAAGTGGGCAAGGCAGATTTAGGGCCTTCATATTTACCTATCCATGGTTTGTGTTATACATATGACTGTCACAAGGCAATGCCATTTAGACACCAGTATCCTCTCTCTTTCCTGACATCAATAGTCAATTCTGTTCAGTGAAACTTCAGTTTTGTGGTCCAGGTGATCTCTGCTTTGTCCCTTTAATAGACAGGTCTCACTATCATTTTTTTAAACTAGTGCTTCCTCCTGTACTGTCCTGCATATTAGCCCTACCAGGGTGCTCAGAGAAATACTCATTCTTCTAATGTATTTGTAAAAGACTAGATAGGCAAAGTCTGGGGGACAGAATTTCTAGGAATAAGGTACTAGATGTTAAAATAGAAGGTTGGAAGGGATTATATGTACATACCTATATTTTATATGTAAATACTTGTCATTTTTTCACAAATATTTAATAAGATCCTATTCTGTGCTAGGTGCTGAGCTAGGCAGGTGCTATAAAAACAGAGGACCAAAGCAGAAACATTCTCTGTCAGAAAAGTATGTTAACAAAATCCACAGAAAATTTTATCTTAATTTTGACTTAAAGAAGGAAAAAGAACAACATTAATTTTTATGTCTAATTCCTTTTCAATTTTTCAAAGTGCTTATCATTCTTATAAATCAGGAAACACTTCGGTACTTTCATAATTAATCTAAATAAACTGTTTTTCATTTTATGAAAATGTCATGATAAAAACGAAGAATTCTGTGATTTCTCAGAAGTTATTAAAACAAAGGCTGTCCTATAGAAATGATTTCATTTATCATTTCTGGTCATGGAAGAATTTATCATTTTCATATTCGAATTGAAGTATATCTGTTTTGCTATTTCTAGGAAACAGAAATGTGTAATCTTGTATTTATAGAGTTTCCTTCTTTTTTGTTTTAATTATTCTTGACTTCTGAGAATACTCATTTGCACATGCTTGCTTTTCAAAGGTTATCCCCACCTTATGCAGCCTATAATAAAAGACTCCCTATGTGGTTATGGAAGGTTTTGAAATATTAATTCTGAAATTCACTTCAGAATGAGAGACACAAAACAAAAAGCATTAATTCTGAAACTATACTAGGTCTTTTTTAAAAATTGTAACTAAGAATTTCACTTGGTTTTTATAGTACCATAAAATACCTTTCAAAATGATCAAATAAGAATTAAATGTTCCTTTTTAAGCATAAATGAAAACATCTTTTCTCCTAGCTGTTCTGACTATTCAAAACTGAATTACCACAAAATTTCAAAAAATTACACAACTAAGCCATCAGCTTCAGTTTCCTACCTTCACAAGTCTTTTTGTCTTCAGACAGCTGGTACCCTGGGTGGCAGGCACACCTGGCCATGCCATTCTCACTCTGACATATGTGAGCACATCCATTCCCACCTGTGCAGGGGTCCATCTCTGAAAGCAATTAAGCAGTGATAGTTTATAATTCATTCTGTTTGGAAAGATGTACCGAGTGAAAGGGTGAACAAAGAATGGTAAGGAGGCACTGACAATTAGGTTTCTCATATAAAGACGGTAAGGACTCCAGAAAGTCCTTTCCCACTTTCCTATGGAACTCATTGAAAAAAATTTTTTTAAGTTCACATAGCTGTTATTTTTATTTCCTTTTTATTGATGTATAATAGCTATAAATATTTGGGGATACTTGTGATATTTTGATAACTGTATAGAATGTATAATGATCAAATCAGGGTAATTGGAATCCATCACCTCCATACATTTGTCCTTTCTTTGTGCTAGGAACATTAAAATTCTTCTCTTCTAGCTATTTTAAAATATGCAATAAGTTATTGTTAACTATTATTTCCCTGCTGTACTTTCAAATGCTAGAACTTATTCCTTTTATCTAACTGTATTTTTGAATCCCTGAACCAACTTCTCTTCATTCTCCCCCCAATCCCTTTCCTACCCAGTCTCTGATAACCACTATTCTACTCTCTATGTCCATGAGATTTCCCATATATGAGTGATAATGTATGATATTCATCTTTCTGTGCCTGGAATATTTTACTTTACGTAATGAGTTCCAAACCATGTTGCTGCAAATGACAGAATGGAAAGATATCCCATGCTTATGGACTGGAAGAATTAATATTGTGAAAATGTCTACACTACTCAAAGTTTTTTACAGAGTCAATGCAATCCCTATCAAAATACCAATGACATTCTTCACAAAAATAGAAAAAAATAATCCTAAAATTCATATGGAACCACAAGAGACCTTAAACAGCTAAAGCTATCCTGACCATAAAGAACAAAGCTGGAGGCCTCAAACTACCTGGTTTTAGATTACACTATTACAAAGCTGTAATAACCAAAATAGCATGGTACTGGCATAAAAACAGACATATAGACCAAATAGAACAGAATGGAGAATGCATAGATAAATCTACACCCCTACAGGCAATTGATTTTTGACAAAGGCACCAGGAACATACATTGAGGAAAGGACAGTCCCTTTAATAAATGGTGCTGGAAAAATTGGATATCTATATACAGAAGAATAAAACTAGATTCACATCTTTCACCATATAAAAAAATCAACTCAAAAGGGATTAGACTTAAATATAAAACCTGAAATTATGAAACTACTAAAAAATATTGGGAAGCACTACAAGCTGTTGGTCTGAGCAAAGATTTTTGGAGGGTAAAACCTCAAAAACACAGGCAACAAAAGCCAAAATAGACAAATGGGGTCACATCACACTAAAAAGCTTCTGCATAGCAAAGGAAACAACAAGTGAAGAGACAACTTATAGAATGGGATAAAATACTTGCAAACTATCCATTGGACAAAGGATTTATAACCAAAATATATAAGGAGCTCAAACAACTCAATAGCAAAAGAAAATTAAATAATTCAATTAAAACATAAGCAAATGGCCTGAATAGACATTTCTAAGAAGAAGACGTACAAATGGCCAACAGGTACATGAAAAAAATGCTCAAAATCACCAATCATCAGGGAAATACAAGTGGAAACCACAATGAAATATCATTTCACCCCAGTTAGAATGGCTATTATCAAAAAGACAAAAAATAACAAATACTGGCAAAGATGAAGAGAAAGGGGAATGCGCATACACTGTTGGTGGGAATGTAAAGTAGTACAGCCATTATGAAAAACAGCATGGAGATTCCTCAAAATACTAAAAATAGAACTACCATGTGATTTAGCAATCCCACTGCTGGCTATATATTCAAAAGAAAGGAAATCAGTATATTTAAGAGATATCTGCTCTTCTATGTTTAATGCAGCACTACTCACAATAGCCAAGATATGAAATCAACTTAAGTGTCCATCGGTAGATGAACAGATAATGTATATACACAATGGAATATTATTCAGCCATATTTTTCATTTTGTGATCTGAACCTCAGAATCTGAACAAATATAAATATGAATCAAGGCCAAAATAGAATTAGCTTAATTTCACTCTTCTCCAAAGTGTATCCAAAGTTAAGTTAAAAATCAGCAGGATCTCTTGCAGACTCCTCTGTGCTTTTCCTCTTTCTTTCCCCATCTTTTCTCCTTTGAGCAGCAGGATCATTCTTAGATAAACCCTACTACCTTCCCTATGCTCCCTCTGCCTCTAGACAAGCAGTAATGGTGTGAGAAGAAGGCAGACTGGGGAGGTCTGGGAGGGTCCGAGCTGCGGCTGCCATAGGGATGGTAATAAAGAAGTTCAAATCCCTTTGGAATTAAGTAAACTGGCTTCTTTCTCCTCTCACTTGCTCCTATTTTAATTTATTTTAACTGTGTTCTCTGGAAGTTTATAGTAATAGGCAGCCACACAAAGCTTATTTGTCAGTCATTCTGGTCTCACTGTATGAGTCCAGCCTTGTCTACCCAATAAAATTGAGATGTTATCTTTATCATATGCTAATATATGCATACATTTATGTCAATTTCTGTACTTTCTATTCAGTTTCTTTGTTTTTCTATTTCAATCCTAATATCATATACATTTAAGTATAAGTAAATGCTTTATAAAATATTTTAATACCTGTAAAAGAGAATCCCCCCTAATTGTTTTTCTTTGTCAAAATTATTGTGTTTTTTGTTGTTTATTTTTACATATAATCTCTATAACAGGTTTCTTTAGTTTAAATATTTTTAAATTATTTGTTTGATGTGCTTCATGCAACATTTTCTTCTGGTAAATATTTATTATTTGGTGGTAAATTTTATTGTTCATTTCTATACTTTTATGATAAGTCTCTGTTGATGTACTGTCATTTTCTTCAACAGTAGTGTTTATGTAACAAATTGGATCTTCCTTGCCTAGCTTTCTTTAGGAAGTTCTGGTCAGGATGATGTGGCATTATAGACTTCTAGACTTCCTAGTCTAAAGGTTCCCTCCTTCTCTGTTGCCACAGAGACAGACTTCTTCCTAAATGTATGGTTTCTCTATATGAGTCTCTGTGTATCCCCGCTTTCTGTGCTTCCGTAAATCCAATCAGGTTATCTAGGCTTGTCGTCAAAATGTGTGCTCACAAGGTATATATCTATATACAAAGATGAGCCTTTTTATCTACAAGGAGTGGATTTCTTTTTGTTTCCGAAATAGGTTACCATTGTATTCTCTTGACATGTTGTAGACTTTTCTTACCTTTCTCTTTCCTTTTTCTCTGATACAAACTCTTAAGCAATTCTTACATTTAAGTCTTCAGATTATATTTGTCTCCAATTCCATACACAATAAAATTTTCTGGACCTTCTTGGTTTCACTTGTTTTCTTTGTTGTGTGTGTATGCTCTCTCATGGGTTAAGGGAAAGATGATGACCTCCACAGCCATGTTTGTAATAGAAACTTAGCTTCTGCCACCATCTTTCAAGACACTGAGATAGGTAACTTCTCTTCTGAACTCTGCAGTGAAAGGTTATTTCACAAGCTGCAAGGTTAAAAAGTAGATTAAAATTATCTTCGATTCTCCTAATAGACCTTTGCTTCTGGGAATCTCTTCCCTAAATTTGTTTCAATCTCTTATTGTCTTTAATGCCTTCTTGGTGCCCAAGATCTCTAACTATGGGGAGTTGTCCTCCCAGAAAATGGCTCGATATAACCCCACAGCAAGTTGTAGTCTTATCAAAAGACCCATCTGTTTTTGAGGCCGATTGTAACTGTCAGCTTCACTTCATGAACTGGGCATGAAAGAGATAGAAGATAAAACTCCCACAATGCAGCATTTGGTTGTAAACTTACAGCTTTTACTCTCAGCTGCAGAATGTAGGAGAACATTCAAAAGTAGCATATGGGACACAAGTAATATCTGCAGTCAAGATTCAAATGCTTCTTTTGGATAGAAATAAAGGACAATACACTTTACATAATAGCACTTAAATGGGGCCTGTTCAAATTTGGCCTGTGACCATGAAAGAGTAACCATGCCTGGCTCACCTTCCCACAATAAACAACTAGAAAACTAGATAAGAGTATATAAAACATCTGTTTGCAGATACTGGACAGCAGGCAGCACAGGAGAGGGATCCCTGTGTGAAAAGAAAAAAGAGAAGCCAAATCATTTCTCTGAGTTTCTGCTGGAAACAATTTCTGGATTACGGCACAAGAAGGAGAAACTAAAAGACAGCTCTTTGATCTTTCTAAGTTTAGGAGACAGATCAGAGTTCATGATGGTCAAGACAACTAGAATTTGTGGAGTAGAGTGCTAGTAAGGGTGGAGGGAGGATGTTTCACAGAGGAGAGCTCTCGATAGAAATATGCATATGTATCCTCTTGAATCTTTGACTAAATATTATTCCATAAATACATAGGGTGAATATCCATGAGATCAGTCAACAAACAGGGAAAAAGAAGGATTAGGGGATCTGTAAACCAAACAATTCCCAGAGTACACTAAGAGGCAAGAGTGAGTTCTCAGCAACCAGACTGGAGAATGTAGTTCAACATAGGCATTCAATAAAGATTCTAGAGTGGCCATGGCTCAATAGTAGGGCTAATATAAACCCAGAATAAAGCCTAGTCTAGATTTGCCCAAACAAAGCTAAAAAGTAATACTTGAAAAGATCAAAGTGATCTGCGTGTGACCTAACTTGACTTCCAGAGAAAAAATACAATACTCGTTAAAGGATAACGACAAAAGTTAGCACTCGACCCTTGTAAAAATGTATCATGTCTACTATCTCAAAAAAATGAATAAATATTCATTTTTTAAACAATGAGACCCAGAGATGGGATCAAGATGGCCGACTAGACACAGGTAGTAGATGCCTCCTCCATAGAGAGAAACCACAGATCTATTCACATTTCAAACAGGTCATCTATGAGAGAACACTATGATTCACCAAGAAAGTGATGGGAACACCAAAAGTGGGTAAGAAGAGGGTTTAGGGCTACTTTCCTGGCCAGGGATGGAAGCTCCTAGGCTCCAGA